CATCTCTCAGGCTTCTCTCTGCTAAGAGATAGATTAAGAACGACACATACAACAAGTCTTTATGTTGGCGACACTGCTGATTGAGTTAATCGTCGATTGAAGTTAATCGGAGTTGGTTAAAGTGGCCCTGAGTCGAAAAGTCCTCTACTATCTTGCAATTTTCGCGATGGTTAACGAGTTATTAATTATTATAAATCGCTGTCTTAGCCTGGTCTACCGCCCAATTCAAGCTCGCGACGAGGTGTGGCCATCCCGCGATTGGCGTTGCTAGGCGCGCAGGGAGTTGTTTATGACATAGAGGTGTGACATTTTGATGTTATTTTTTGGCACTTTTTGCGGTTTGTTTTTCCAGATTTTGCGTTATTTTGATGTTATTTTTTGGCATCTTTTGCCTCTTGTTTTTCCGGATTTTGCATTATTTTGATACTGTTTTTGATGTTTACTAAGGAAAACTGCAATTTTTGACGTTATTTGGACGCTATTTTGCCTGTTGAGAATCATTTTGCGTTATTTTGTGTTTTAAAAACGTGTTAAAACGAAGTTGGGGACTCCAAAATGTAAAGAAATGACATTAAAAATGTTCCTGGGGCATTTTGCGATATTTTGCGTATAAAGATAACATCAAAATGTCACCTCTATTTATGACACACGGCAACGGCTACGTGTAATAAACAACTCCCAGCGCGCCTAGCAACGCCAATCGCCGGACAGCCGCATCTCGCCGCGAGCGCCGGGCCAAGACAGCGATTTTTAATAAATAATAACTCGTCAACTATTTCGAAAATTGCAAAATGGTAGAGAACTTTTCGACTCATTGTCAGTCTAGTCCGCTCTATCCGCGAATAAGAGGTGAGGCGGGTATTACATAACACCCTGTATATGCATATGCGCAATGGAACCTTTGTTTCGCAAAAAGGATTAAAAATAAAAATATAAAAAAAAAGTCGCTTTTCGGCGACAGTCCCTTTTAGGTTTGTCTTCGTTTATCGGGTATTCGCGATTAGACTTGGGCGCAAAACCAAACGCCGGCAATCCGTAAGCTCACAAACGGCGTCTGTCGCAAGAAACTTGCCAGCGCGACGCGATCTCCGCGCCTCGCGGGCGGAGAAGCGCAAAAACGTACTATCGGCAGCTGCAGGCTATTCCGGTTCATTGAAATTCGCGAATGCAACGTTCCGTCGTAACGAGACGAGTAGACAACGTCTGTTTCGCCCCGAGGGAACGCCCGTTCGTAAGAAAGCGATCGTGTCTCCTACGGAGTTTGAATCGCGGAATTGACGATTCGTTGCAATTTCCGACGAAATAGCGAGTTTTCCTCTCTCTTCCTTTTGCCCTTTGCCGCGCGAACAACGAGAAACAAGCACGGTCGCTCGCTAATTAGGTGCACTTCATAAACCGCCGCACGAACATAATTGCATTTCGCGCGGCGGCGCGACGGCCGCTTTATTAAAAGCCGGTTTTGTGGTTTCAGATGAGTTCAGGAGTAAGGTGGCCTGCGAGAACGAAGTCATCAATCTCGTTTGCCATCCCGGCCAGAGGGTGGCGATTTTCAGCGCGTCCTTCGGTAGAACGCAATACGAGTCTCTTCAGTGTCCGCAGCCGCGGGGCGTGCAAGAAGAAAGTAAGTGCCGCAATCAATTAACACCTTGCGTCTCTCCGTTGATTATAATTTATGGCTTATTATAACTCAGTTTTTTCAACCCTGCCTCTTTTTTATCGAGATTTCCGTGACACGCCTGTCCGCGCAGAAAAGAAAGTGTCAGATCGACTCTTATCTACTCAAATTGACGCGTTCGTTATTTTGTATACACGAGGAGAATTTACTCTTCACATATTTATCCTGAAAATCGTGTAACCGTGGATCAATATGGCATTTTGAAGAACTTTATGAGAGTCTTTTGAAATTTTACCATGCAGTTTACTATTTGTAAAATATATGGTAAAATGTATGGTCAACCAAATTTAGTGTTCTGGTATAGAAAGTTTCTCAAAAAATGGTTCAATAGAAAAATGTGCGCTTCAAAGGGTTAAGTACTACAACTGTCACTTTAAGAATACATGTAATTATTTTGACAATAGAATCGTTTTAATTATAATCTTCGATTTGAAAATACGTTATTTTCTATCCAATATTTTTCAAGAAAATTACTTTTAAATAATAAGCACATATTTTTCTTGACTGAATTACATAAAATTGCTTCATTTAAGTAAGTTTCCCTTTAACGCAATATAATCTCACTCTAAGATTTTCACGTTGAAACCAAACACATTTTCAGAAGAAGAATATCCTTTTTTTTTCTGCGCGACAGCGGCTGTTACTTTTGTTTATTAAAGCGGTAAGTGATCGAACGTAAAAACCTCGTGAGCCTCAACTCTCGCGTGCTTTTCACGTTTCGACATCGTCGTGATTTTATGTCGCGTCATTCCGAGTATGGAACATCATTCGTAGAAAATATTAACGCGACGACACTCTCCGAGATTATACGGGCGTTATTTATGCAGGTGTCATAAATCTCCCGCGTGTCACTAAAGTAATGATATCTATCATACATCACGTGTAAATACCAATGCGAAATCCTGCTAGTCGGACGACAAATTGTGGGATTTTTCGGGCGCGCTACCATTTTCAGTGATATAACGGGGATCGATCGATAATCTCGTGTTCATTTCGTCTATTTGCCGATGAGTTTTTCTGCAGGGGTGCCTTCGAGTCGATGTTTGTCCTAGTTTATTGTCATACTTGGCGACGAGATTGCGACTCTTTCTTCCGCGGCTGCCGAAGTTTCGGATGAGGTTCCGCGCGATGTGGGAAGAGAAAATTAAAGTGAGTTCTCCCGCGGGGTATTCTTAAAAAAGAGAAGTCGAGTGTTTCCGTTTCCCAAGTGGAGCGGGATAATTCAATGACCGACAGATGCGTTTGGCCGCCGAATGTGACGTTTGATATCGGGGAAAGCTTGTTATTCGCGTTCGCGCCTCGGGAGGCAGGAGAGAGAGGCGCTTACTTTTAATTCAGGAGGAGCAAGGAGCTGCCCCGCCTCTCTCGTTCTTGAGATTTGGTTTTATTTAACTTTTCAAAGTAAATTCTTTTAACTCGCGAATGAACGCTCCGGTCGACCGCTCGCGTTCCCACGGCGACTTTTTGTCCCGTCCAATCAATCGATTCCTACGAAAGCGCACCAAGCGAACGCTGAACGAGGGAACGTAAACGAGAATGGCTCTCTGCAAAGACCGTACTACTGATACTTTGACGATACCATTTAATTCTGAAACATTGAAACGTTGTCGTTGTCACGTACACGTTTAAAGGTGTTTTTATTTGTCTGTCCGGTCTTGTTTTATCCTCAAAACCGTCTACACCAATGTCTACTAATGCTTTAAAACTGGACGGTAATTTTTAGATTTTTTTATAACGCACCAATAAGGCCAAATAACACCCACTGACGCCCGAAAAAATGCCTCGTAACGCCGCAATCTGTACACCACAAGGGCCCTCAATATTACGTCATGTCTCTCGAATCCTAATAACAGCTCCAGATTACTTGGATCACTGAGATTACGTCAATTCGCGTATACATGATGCGATTGTACTTATAGTCTTACCGGCTGCAGACAACTAATTTTAGAGACCAAATTGGAAAGAGAAGGAAAGAATCAATTACTCCCCGGTTAAGTTAACTTTGTAAGAAGAGGATTTTATTTTATTCGCCTTTTTGCTCCTCTTCAAGGAAAATATCATTTCTGTTCCCTTTATAGGCAAAGGAAATTCTGGTTTTACAGTTGTATGAATAGCTCGGCTCTGTTCACGATGATCCAATAAATCTCTCCATCCCGCACAATTCCTCGGTCCGGTCCACTTGTCCGGTCATCATCCGCCAACCCCGTAGAGCTACCTTTTAACGCGAAGGATCGAAAGGTTGCTTGCCGCTTGAGTGCGACAATAAGGAACAAAATCTACGGAATGGCGCCGCGTTATAATAGTGCTCTTTCGTGCTTCTTCGCCATGAATGGCTCGCGGTCGCCTTGATATCCCTTTATGAGACGCGGCTGCGTCGTCACGTCTCAGCTCGACGTGAGCGATACGTATACATTTTCTCGCACAAAGGAGTATCAGAAACTCCGAAGACTTCCTGCTCTTCCTTCAATTCTGTCTTTTCTGTCATTCTGCGTCAACTCGAATCGATAAATTCCCGTTCTTTTCTCCGACACGGCGCTTCGGCGCGCGTATTGTCGGCCAACTTTTCTAAATCTTATTCAATAACGTAAACAATGCGGCGTCTTCCGCAAATCATAAATGGTATAAGCGGGATCTCGCGGATGTTTTAGAAATGTTTAAGAACGGGAGCTCTCGCGAAATAACTTGTCTTAGACTGATGAGTTAGTTAATTGCGCGCGGAAACTGTGTTTCGCGTTTCATTTCCACGCGACTTTTAATGTAACCAAGCCAAAAGTGGGCTTGTATACATGCTGCTTTTGAAAATTCTATCAACCTTTGTAAACTTCCGTGCTTAGGATAAGCCAGTCATTCCTTTCGTTTCACCATTGTGGAGTTGTTTTGGTGAAATACGCAAATTTCGTTGCTTTCTTTGCAATTCTCGCGCAAAATGCTCTATATGGAACACACAATAACGCGAATTTTTTTTCCGTCTTTCTTGTGTACTGCATATGTTGTTAATGTTACCGTTTTACTATTACAGATTGCATGATGGATTTCGCAACGGAAACCGTAATGCAATTATGCCACGGTAAACGACGATGCTCAGTGGTGGCTAACAGCACAACGTTTGACAGACCAGACCCCTGCAGCCCAGACAGCAAGACGTATCTCAAAGTCGTGTATACTTGCGGTGAGCAAAAGAATTATCTTTGTTTTTAATTTCTCGCTGCCGCGAAATAACCAAGTGTGCAGCGTGTCTCGCGAACAGCTGATTCACATAATGTTTCGGTGAAATATCACATCGCAAATTTCGTTACTTCCTTCGCAATTTCCGCGCAAAATGCTCTATATAGAACATCGCAATTTTTTTCAGCTTGTGTAATGCATATTTTGTTAATTTCACTATTTGTAGAATCGAAATTTATTCCTAACGTACACGAAGAGAATTTTCTCTTAAAATTTATCCTGAAAATCATGTGATCGTGGGATAACGTGGCATTTTGAAGATCTTCGTGAAAGTTTTTTGAAAATTTACCATACATTCTACTAGTAAAATATATAGAACATCACGAATTTTTTTTCGGCTTGTACACTGCATATTTTGTTAATGTTACCGTTTCACTATTGTTAAAATCGACCCATACAGCACAGAAGTTTGCAGCAACATTGCATATTGCAGTGTAATGTTACATAGATATTGCAGAGACATTATTTTACAATATTACTTTAGTTGAGGCCTCTTTTCCGCGATGCCAATTAGTTTTCTCGAAACGCGGTGTACTTCACTTCTCTTTTAGATTCATAGTAACTGAAGATTTGCAATTTAGAAATATACATTTGTATACACTAACTATTGAAGTAAAATCTCCAATCTTAGTAATTAGACTTTAAGTAACAACGATTTTTGTTTCGAAACATTTTCTCGATTGAACAGAATTAATCGTTAATTTAATAAATACCAATAACTCCGCAGAATGATTCACAAAACGTAGTAACAGTCACGGAACAAAAAAGACAACGAATGCTCAACGTTCGTAGTTGTTTTTCTCTCGGCGCGGTGACGTACGATGTTTTTGCGTGCCATCGTGTACCTGAAGGTCGCCGCCCGCGTTCTCACTCGCTCGCCGAACGTCGAGCCGGCAGGCCGCAGCGAGAGTCGCTCCGTGTGTCGTATTACTTTTGCGTTATCGGTTTCCAAGACTCGATCGCGATAATTGTAGGGATAAAACGCTATTGATTTGTACACCTTTATCAGTAACAAGTAACGTTCCTTGATTAATTATTCATTTTCTACAACTTGTAATAAGAAACGAATTGCGTGTTGAGGCGACGGTTCTTTATCAACGTATACATAAATATTTCACGAGACTAACTCATCTAAAATATGAATGTAAACCGTGATACTTTGTCGCGGTTACATCTCGTTTACGCATCGCGCTTTTAATTGTCTATCGGTTTCGTGTAATCTGTTCCATTTTCGGGAAAAGAGAAATTTGTGCGACTTCGGCGTTCGCGCTGTAATTCGCTTGGTTGTTCTTCGCAACTCGCACGGGCAGGAAGTAAAGAAAGTCGCTTATTGCACGTAATTTGTATGACAGAAAGTCACGCGATATTTGCTAATAATATTTTGTGCGTTTCGCGGTATTTCACGTCGCGTACGGGAGTGCCGGAAATTTCGCGCGATCGATGATTTTCACGAGTGAATGTTGTGTGAGTGCCACAAGGAAATCTGAGAGGAGGAGGCGGCCAAGGGGGCATCAGGCAACGGCGGAGAATTGGTGAGGTAAGTGTGTTACATTTTGATGTTATTTGCTACTTGTGCAAAATAAAGCATCTGTTCTGTGGTTTCATTTGATTTATTCAAATAATTCGAACGACGATACGAATAAGTGTTAAAGACAAAACCGTACGTATACAATTGTGTGAGTTTATATTTAAAAGAAAGACTTTTTCAGTATTCTTTATAATTATTTTAATAAATATCTACTTTACAAAATATAAAACATAAAATTATAATAATTTCGATTTTACACAATTAATCTATAATAATCAAATACATTTTGTATTTTTACAGTTTAACATACAGTTTAACATACAGTTAACGAGGTACAACTCTGCTGTTGCGGATCGTATCAGTGAGTGATAAATTACTTTTTATTTTAAATTGACGTTGCGCATACAATTACTTATCTCTCTCTCTCTCGTTGCATGTATACAAATTTTTAAAAGTAAACAATGCTCAACTACAAACTGCGCGCGCAAAGCGCGCGTTTTGTCATTTCTAGTAAACTGTAAAAGTGAGATGAGGAAACAATATACGTATTAAAAACATAATTGTATCACTATTTTAAAGTAATATTGCTACAATATTACTTTAGTAAATTGTAGCTAAACTAAAATAATGTCTCTGCAATATCTATGTAACATTACACTGCAATATGCAATGTTGCTGCGAACTTCTGTGCTGTATGGGTCGATTCTAACAATAGTGAAACGGTAACATTAACAAAATATGCAGTGTACAAGCCGAAAAAAAATTCGTGAAATGTTCTGTATATTTTACTAGTAGAATGTATGGTAAAATTTTCAAAAACTCACGTAGGTCTTCAAAATGCCAGGTTACCTCACGATCACATGATCTTCAGGATAAATTTTGAAAGACAATTCTGCCCGTGTAGTTAATCGCACGTTCATCTTGTGCGAATATAAACGCCATAAGTATCCGCGTATTAGAAATGTTAGTAAGAAGTAATAGTTTCCGCTAATTTTGAACGCGAACATAATCGAATAAGAGACACGCCGTACAGCCTGCCGTTCGCAACGCAGCTCGCAAATGGGACGGACAAGTTGATGATTGAGTTGCAATAACATTATGAAAAAAATAGTAAGAGGTATAGTGTCTAGTCGTACAGAGGGAAAAGTAATTACTTATTTAAACGAGAAAATTGAGCGTTTTTTCCCCCCCGAGAGAGTGTAGCCGGCGGCGATTTACCGTTGCAATCCTTGAAAAGTAGCGAGAAAAACTGATATTACGGGCCGTGCAATAACGTGTTCGGTAGGGGATCTATCCGGAGCTTGCTGCACAATAGCGTATAATGAGCGCAGGAACGCTCCTCGTTCTAAGGAGAAGTTATTTTATTGCAAGGTTCGAAGTGACTCGGCGCGGCAGCAACGAGTCAGCGACAGCTTTAAACAAAATGACGTCGTTGCACGGTCTTTTCTTCAACCCCGGGATTCGTACTGAATTTCGCCCTCGACATTTTTAATGGGCACTCTCCTCAGGAACGGGTGCGTCACGAAGAATAGCGAAAGAAACTGTTGTGAAAACTGTCGACGAAAACTAACGAGCGGCATCACCGGAGCGTATTCCGAGCGTGACGTCGCAGGACGTTATCCCCCTGAGAAACGGGAAAACTAGAATTTCCGGCCGGCGTCGTGATACAAGCTGCAATTTCAGTCTGCGTGTTTACTTGTTTGTTTACGCTCGAATATCCGCGATAATAATTTCGCGTCGATCGTCGATCGCGCGCGCGCGCTGCCTCGCCCAGGTTTTTGATACCCTAATCAAGAATTCGCCGCGATCTAACTGAAAAATGAAGGGAAAACGCCGCGTGGAACGAGCTGCGTGGGACGCGAAATGCGTCTAGCCGCAATATTTGCGGCGCCGTTGAATTTTCGAGCGCGAGTACACACGCCCGTGTGCAAACTCCTCTCGCGAAAATCTTCCGAGTCTTTTCAGCGAGGCCGCAACGCCGTAATAACATTCTTCGCGAAAAGTTGCACGCGAATTGGGAGACGTTAACAGGGCAAGTTTTATACCACTCGCTGGATGCTTACGTCGCCCCCGCGAGTGCAACGAAAAAGCGACTTACAGTGTCGTCACTGTGTTACTCCGTGCTGCAATCTTTTTTACTCTCGCGAGCGGAATTACACATACCCCGTACACGTACACATTTTGTCAGCAAATAGCGCAGCGCGCTCTTATAACTGGGTATTACTTTGTTGCGGAATACCTCGTTTACATTAATCGTAACCATCTTTTACCTCCTTAACAAAGGGAGGAAAGTGTGGAAAAGAAGGTACCGTGTTATAAAAATACGCTGTAATTTTTCTTGAACCGCGTAAAATTTATTCGCCCCCTCCCTCCTCCCCCCCGTGGAAACTGGCTCGTGAATTCTTCGCCGTAAAACTTACTTTAAGAATTAGTGAAAAAAAGAAGAAGAGAGGAAGCTGTGCCACGGGCGAGGAGAAGAAGGATTGAGAAATGGTTCGCGTATCGAGATAACATTACGCATAATGACTAAAATTATTTTTCCCACCTTGATATTTTTCTTCAAAGTACCCGTACTTAAGATTTCTTTTTAAGTCTCACTTTGCGACGACGACGCTTCGAAGTTAACGCGACAACGATTGCAAATTTCAGCCACGGTGCAATTGTGAACTGCCTCTCCCTCTCACATTTTATTAAATGCGATACAATTTATCGATCAGAAAGCGACTCGAGCTCTGAATTTCTCGAGTTGGAATTAAAGTCGTGATTAAAATGGTAAGTGCCCCTTGGCGCTGGAAGGGACGGGAGACGCGCTGGCCCTTTCGTGGCTCGTCGCACGTCAAATTACCGGCCGTAAACGACCGTGCCCGGATTATGATTCGCCCGACGTATCCGCGAACGCATTTGCATGTGCCTGTGAATGCCCGATGCGAGCTCATTAGTCAATGTCACTTCGGTTCCTGTTACCGACCGGTAACGTTTGCGAGAGAAAAAAAAAGGGAATCGTCGCTCGCGGTATTCTAATTTGGCGGCGAGTCATGCATAGTTCTTCGTGGCACGCGGCTCTCCCGGTGGCCGTGAGCAAAATATGCGCATTCGTTGGTACGTGAAAAAATTCGTGAAATAATAAACGTCCGTTGATCCGAGCCGGTCGCGTCTCCTCGCGATCGTGCATTTTGAATATTGCGAACCGCATTTTACAACAATTTCTCTAACAATATTGTTATAAAAATATATGATTGACTGCACAACCGTCTATGATAACACGGGATGTTAACATAGCGACGTAAATATTTTATAATACCATCGATTTATTCTGTTTTTTCTTCTCTTTCCATCCTTCAAGAGGGGAATGCGTAATTTTTTTCTTCTTCGAACTGAGATTACTTTCGCGTGTAATATCAAAAAATTACACGCAA